GACATCCTAGATTTTCTTAAACTCAAGAATCAATGAATGGACAATATATTTCTAAGGAGAAAAAGAAAACATGGTATTCTTATACACTCAGTCACTCAAGAAGGAGGACATCCTCAAATGATATTCTGCGAAAAGAACCCAGACCATCTTGCTTTGCTAAATGAATGTGGGGCAGTATTCTTTCACTTTTTGTTACTCTTGTATACCAAAATTTACTTTATATGCAGTTTGAAAATGATCAGTTGCTGATGGTAGGTATATATACAAAGGTGACTGGAAGAAAGCAGATAAAGTAGAAGCGAAAAAATTCACTGGGTTGATTTTTTAAAAATTAAAAGTGTTCACTGAACCCAAATGGTTAATAGTGATGACTATCTCTTCCTGGTATACCAAAGTTTAAAATATGTGCATCATACTAATCAATGTACCAGTTAGCTTACTTAAAAGTAAAACATTTCAGAAATAAGGTAAAAAAAATTATTATATTTCTGCTTAAATTAATAATCTTGAAGTGGCTAAAATCACCTAGAGTGACATAGCCCTGGGTTGGAATCCCAAGACCAATGCTAGTGCGTGACCTTCGACAAGTTAGTCAGCCTTTCTAAGATCCAGTTCCCTCATCTGGAAAAATAAGGATTAAAACATTACTTCCTCTTTTGTAGAGTTGTAAAGAGATTAAATTGCTTAGCACAGTGCTTGGCATATAGGAAAAGACAGATACAGTATCATCTATGGATAGTGATTTTATTATCCTTGAAGTGCTGAAAATAGCTCTCCTTATCTAGTGGATCTGGGAAATGATGGCCACATCCCAACAGAACTTATCATTGCTGCTGTCTGCTGTTGACCAGGTACCCACGTTCCAGGTGAAGCCAAGGTGAGGTCGTCAACCTTTCAGAGGTCAGGCCACTTGGTCTGTGGACACCACAGATAATGCTGTGAAGGCCAGAACACTACAGTCTTTTAAATTCAACTTTAATCTTCTCTACCACCAAGAAATATTTTTTTCTGATTTTTAGATTGAGCATGCATGACTTTAATGAACTCAAATTCTACAAAAAACAAAACAAAAACAAAAACAAGGTAAAGGGCAAAAATTTCCCTAAATCTCATCACCTGGAGAAAACATTATTATCCTTCCAGGCTTCTCTTTGTAGATATACACATATAGGCATACAATTTTACAAAAAGGGCAAACATACTTTTCTTGATGTTGTTTTTGTACTCAAGAATATCTTTCTATTTCATTAGCTAGAGATCTCCATGTTCATTCTTAGGAGGGCTCTACTTTATTTATTTACTTACTTTTAAATTTATTTACTTATTTATTTTTAAAGGAAGAGGGCTCTACTTTAAACTACTGCATTCTGTGCATACATGAAGTAGTAGTAAAAGAGTAACAATCAAAAGAAAATATGTGGCCGGGCGTGGTGGCTCATGCCTGTGATACCAGCACTTTGGCAGGCCAAGACAGGAGGATTGCTTGAGCACAGGAGTTTAAGACCAACCTGGGCAACATAGTGAGACTCCGACTACACAAAAATCAAAAAATTAGCCAGGCATGACGGCACACACCTCTAGTTGGGAGGCTGAGGTAGAAGGATCGCCTGAGCTCATGATGCCAAGACTGCAGTGAGTAATGCTCCTCTACCACTGTGCTCCAACCTGGGTGAGAGAGTGAGACCTTGCCTCAAAAATGGAAGGAAGGAAGGAAGGAAGGAAGGAAGGAAGGAAGGAAGGAAGGAAGGAAGGAAGGAAGGAAGGAAAAGATTAACATATACTGTTAAATAATGACTTAGCTCAAAAACTGAGGTGAGTTGTGAGGTTCAAGTGGATTTCAAAAACAAGTGAAAGTCAGTGACATTTATTTTTTTCTTATGAAAATACTGAAGACCTGGACCCAGGCTGTGCTGTGTGTCACACCCTATTCCCTAAATGGCTATTACTTGTGGAATGTGAAACTGAACTTTTAATAAAATGAGAACTCGCCCATAACCTCAGTATATTTTCAGGGTTTAAGAAACCTATTTTATCTAGATTTCAACTTTTTCACTCTTGGCACCAAAAGAGTTATTTCTCAGTGCTACACAAATACGAAAAATATGGGTCTGGACTCAGTCTTGCTTTCCCCTGCCAGGTTGGGGCTTCACTCCAGAGGCCAGACATGTGAGAATCCTTCCCTCTGGATGCCACCATGTCCCTGGATAAGCCAGCAGTCTGTAGACCTCAACAACCGAGGCCCCACCTCAGGGACACTCAAGGGACCTTTATCCGGAAGTCTGGCTGCATCACTTTGGTATTCATTTCCACCCTGCCAGAAGCAAGAAGCATAGATGAAAAGATGTCAACATAGCAATATTATTTTTACCCATTTGTATATTCTTCTTCTTAGAAAATCAAGAGTGCTTTTGCTACTCCAATCCCAGATAATGAAAATACAGTTATAGTGAAAGAATCTGTATTAAATAAACTGCTGCTGATTTAAAGAGATTACATTTACAATCTTCAAACTTGGACAAGAGTTTATAAAACTGGATTTACTCTGAAAGTGATCTAAAATAATCTGATATAAGTGGTTCATTTTTGTGTATCATGGGGAGCTTTCATTAGGGGTTGGGGGAATGGGAGTATGTTGAAGAACAGACTGCAGGGGCAAGAGAAGATGTCCAGCTAAAAGTGGGGGTGAGCCCAGCAAACTCCGAATCTCGGCACTAATGATACTAGCAAAGAGATAGGTACGAGAACCCCTCCCCTGCCACAGCAAGGCCAGCAGGCAGACTAAAGAGGGGACCCAGGCTGGCTACCATGGATAAAATTCCAAAAAGCAAGTTCATATAAAGTGGGCCTGGGTCTTCTGACCAGGTAAAACCCTGTTTGTCAAGCCTGGAATTCAAAGTAATATTTCAGTAAGCCACTAAGGGAAACAGCTGATGGGTCCCACAGACAGAGCCACCTAATCACCCTTCCCTAATATCAGGGCAGGGTAGGGGATGGGGAGGACATCACCTGACCCCTACTTAGGAGACAAGGGCAATCAGTGGCAAGGAAACCTAACAGGCCATCTGCACCATGTTTCTTCTCCTCTCCCCTGCACCATATTCCCTCCTATGCAGGATATTGACCAAAGAAAATATTTGTTTTCACTACAAGAAAACACGATGGTGAGTCATCATTACATTAATAAATACACTTTATATAATAAACCATATCACTCTTTCTAGGCTACTAACAGTAAAAACAACACAGAAAATGCCTAGGGAAATGGGTCTCTTCATTTCATGATCTTTAGGACAGTGTTCGTGAATGTGGACTTCAGCCCCACAACTTTAGCATCACAGTGGAAGCTTGTTAGAAATGAAAATTCTCGGCTCCCTACTGAATCAGACACTCTAGAGGCTGGACCCAGCAATTTGTGTTTTAATAAGCCTCCAGGTAATTGCGATGCAAGCTGAAATGTGAGGATACTGGCCTAGGGGAAAGAAACTGGGATGGGCGCCAGGAGACCTAATTCAGATTGCAGCTCTGGATCCCACGGTCTAATTCAGTGAAATTTAATGAAGAGTCATGATGTGCCTCTCTGTGCATTGAGGCTAATGCAAGAATGTGAGGATACTGAGACAAGTTAGACATGGTCCTGTTCCTCAGCTGGAACATAATCTACTATATTCTTTCACTCCTCTAGGACAGAGGCTATTTTTGTTATTGTTCTTGCTTTGTTTCATATTTGTATTTCTAGTGCTGGCAGGTCACAGACATTCAATAAACAGGCGGTGAATCAAGTGGTAGAGCCATTCAATGACTGTGATAAATACTACCAAACCACTCATCAATAATCTTAATGTTACCCCAATCTAGTTAACACCAACCAGCCTTGATTTAAATACTTAACCCATCAGTGCCAAGTGCTTGTCATATATCAGCTCATTCAATCCTTTTAGACATTCTGTGCTGTGGGTAATATTTTTAGTCCCACCCTGCACATGAGAAACTGAGGCTCAAAATATTAATTCATCCAGTGTCATACAGCTAGAAAGTGGTACAGCCAGAAATGAATCCAGAAATCTCTTTTTCCAAAGCTCATCCTTGTAAATGTGGTGATGGTCTAAACTGACTTGGGGGTAAATTTCCCCCAAACCTCTAAGATTGGTGGTAGGTTATCTTCCCATCATGTACTTAAAACTGCACTTTGCAGATGTCACCTTTAGAGATCAAAGACTAAGAAAACCACCAAGCACTAGGAGAGCGACAGCACTCATATCCACACTTCAGGATTTCACAGGCCAGAAAGAAAATTCTTAAAGTAAGAGTGATAGATAGGATTGCCAGCTTCTTATTTTGCCAAGCACAACCCCTTCCCAAGTACTGAACAACTATCCTCAGAATTTCCTACACAGAAAAATAATTGTTGTCAAAAATCTACAGGGACATAAGTTTAGAATATAGTTGATTGTACTTCATGTATTTTCTCATATATAACGATCATTTTGTTCAATTTTTCTCATTTCAGTAGTTTGGTATTTGGTTTTCATTGAGCTACTGGCTGGGCCTCGGGTGGAGCCTCCCAATCCAGGCAGGCCAGGGAGAATGGGGCAGATGTGAGTCTAGCCCTGTGGCCCAAAGGCATGGGGGGGCAGATGTGGCCATCACATTGTGGACCAGCATCCATACCAAGACAAATAGCAATGAGCAGCAAACAGGAGAACCTGCCAAAGGTCTGAAGCTTGTCTAAGGCTCTGATGCTTCAGCAGTTGCAGCCACTGATTCAATAATGGCTCTTCCTCCCTGATCATTTGGACTACCTTCTTGCTCTTCTTCCTCCTCATTAGAAGTCAGAGATTAACTTGACAGCTGTCATCTCCTGTTTTCTTGCGAACGATTCAGGGCCAAGAGAGATCTGGTTGGGGTTGTTGGAGGCCCAGGAGCTACTAGAGTCAGAGGCTATAAGTACCGATAAAAGGAAAATAGGATTTATACCACAAGCACAAGCAAAGGGACCTCACCTTACTAGGAGGTGGTCCATGATCATCCAAGTAAGTGGAGTTTCCTAGAAAATAAAAAAGAGAAAAAAAGTTGAGGAATCATTCTTTTAAACCCAACATGAATTTAGGGCAAAGTCATTGAAAATAAGCACTCTAGTTATATAGCATTTCTATTCAGACAACAGTACCAAAGAAAAATAGGTACTTAATCATCAGTTTAGCCAGGTTTTGCTGATATGACCATGTTTGGTTAACAGTTTCAGCAGTTAGAAACATTCTACACACATAGGTATGTATATACACACACATACACATAGAAACACACAACATTATTCCTCATGCAGTATCTGTTGAGTCTTTACTGAGCTCAAGCAAGTAGACAGTGGTAGGGAAACAGCATTAGTGGACGATCTGCCCCTTTAATCAGACTGCTTACAGGAAGAACAAAAGTAGGCTCACAGGCTAGGCTGGAACAGCCTTAAGAAGGTACTGACTGGGCCTCAGATGGGGCATCCCAACCCAGGCAGACCAGGGAGAATGCGGCAGATGTGTGTCTAGCCCTATGGCTCAAAGGCATGAGGGGGCTAGGTGTGGCCATCACATCGTGGACCAGCATCCATGCTAAGACATGCTGAGTCTGTCGAGTCTACCTTCAACCATTATCTGTTGAGTCTACCTTAGATCATTGGTTCTCAAACCTGAGTGTGCATAAGAACTACCTGCAGGGCTTGTAAAAACACAGATTTCCCAGCCCCACTCCCAGAGTTCTGATTCAGTCGCTCTGAGAATTTGCATTTCTAGCCAGTTTCATGCGACTTCAATGCTGCTGGTCCTGGACTCACACTTTGAAAACCCTACATTTTATTTCTCCAGTTTGTCTTAAAATTATTGATTTCCCTTTTCTTTTCAGTCTAGTTTGCCTCTAAAGCTTGATTTGTTTTCACTAATAGTCATTTTTTGGCATGTGTGTCTTCAGACTGCATGGTTATTGTCTCTTGATGAATAAAAGATTCCGGGATTTGGAAGGGAATTAATGTTGACTGAGCTCCTTTTATATACCAGGTCCACTGCCAACTTATTCATCTAATGCAAATACTAGAGGTGGGTTAGAATTGTTCCCATTTCACAGAGGAGAGAACAGAAGTCTGGAGAAACTCAGGAACTCATTCACAGTCACAAAGCTGACAACTGCAGAGGAGAAAAGACTGGTTTTTCAGGAGTGTTTAGGCGTCTACCCATCTACCCATCCGAAAAGACTGCCACCTCAGGCTTTTGTGCAGCCCAGGCATTGCAAATACTGGAGACATTTGATCACATGGATGAGCCAATGATGCAATCAATCGGTATAATCAAAGGCTCCTATCCAAGAGGGGTTACTCTTGTGAGTCTTGGGGAAGTCGTCATCACCAAAAAAAAAAAAAGATGATCAGACTTGCTAACGGAACAAGTAGAAAATATTGGCAACAAAAGAATACCTGCAGAGAACAGCTGAGTAGGGGATGAGATCAATGTCTTAGCTTGAGAGGATGAAAGGTGCTTTTGACAATACAGAGCACACATGACTTAAGAAATTGGAATAAAAACGGGAAGCAGAGCTTGAGCCAGGGACAGTTCAACTGGGGAAACACATCCAAACAAAACAAATAAGTGGGTTCTGGCTTATAGGTTTTTCCATACTGAGTCATCATCCATTCCTTTTTCTTTGTCGGCTTCTGATTTATAGCCCCTCTTGGTGTTCACAATGGCTGTACTATAACTGACCAGTGTGTATGGTCAAGGGACAAGGGGGTCCAATATTAATGTACAAAACATTCAAATACAAGCACAAGGCATTCTTGTGATTGGGCTACTTTCAGGAAGATTTAAATGTGAACATGATTAACATTGTTAGACCTTAATTACTATGCTGAACTCTTCTAAGGAAGTAAAATCTTTATCAGAGTTAATAAAGAGGATATGTGTGTAAAAGAATTCAGAATAACAGTTGCCTGCACTGACATAACTATTTAGATATATCCCACCATCGTGCAGCCAGTGCAGCTGCAGAGAGTTCTCATCTGCTCATCATGGGGATGTGTCTTCCCTGGAGGTGGGGAGTTGTGAGAAATCCCAACACATTCCAGCATGTTCTCCAGGTATCAATCTTAAGGATCAAAGAGAGCCCACACAACAAATATTTCTAAAATTCCAGAAATTTCCATAAGAACCAACGTTCCTAAAAACTTTTAAAGAGGGATTATTTAAATGCCTCATTGCTACCTTCAATCTCTAGTCTACGGGTCCACTGACTCCTTGTCAATTCTGCTTGGATGTCTGAAGGTACCTCATACTTCCCCTGTTTAAACTAGGACTCTGTTTGCTCCAATTCCATCACCCAAATTTCCACCTTCCTTGACTTCCTTCCTTACATAACGTATCCCTTTCCCCAAACATGTCCTGTTTTTCAGGACAAAGCCCAAGATCCATCCTTAGATTCATCTTTTTTCCCTGTGCCATACATACCAACCCAGTGACAAGTCCTTTGATGGGGTCTTCAAAATATAACTCAGATCTGATCATTTCTTACCAGATCCTCTGGGCCATCCGGGAGAACCCCTGTGTCTCTTTAATTATTGATACTTTTCTCCTTTTCTACCCATATAGCAACCAGAGAGATCTTTCAACTATCAATTAGATCATGTTAGCCCTCTGTTTAAAATCTATTTCTCTAAGAACAAAAGCGTCAATGCCATACCATGGTCTGTAAGTTTCTGTATGACCCAGGCCCTGCCTCGTATGACACCCAGCACCAGCCACGATAGCTTTCTCTCTGCTTCAGAGTACACCTTTTGTCAGCCAGGGGTCTTCTGAACTGGCTCTTTCCTCTTCCAGAAAAGCTCTTTCCCTTCATTCAGGCTCAGCTCACATGTTACTTCCTCATAGATGCCCTCTCTGAATACCCCATCTAAAATAGCATACTTGGCCAGGCACAGTGGCTCATGCCTGTAGTCCCAGCATTTTGGGAGATCAAGACGGGAGGATTGCTTGAGCTCAGGAGTTCAAGACTAGTCTGGGCAACATAGTAAGACCCTGTCTCCAACAAAAAAGAAAAAAATTAGCCAGGCGTGGTGGCATGAGTCTGTAGTCACAGCTACTTGGGAGGCTGAGGCAGAATAATCGCCTGAGCACAGGAGGTCGAGGCTGTGGTGAGTCGTGATCATGTCACTGCACTCCAGCCTGAGTGACAGAGTGAGACCTTGAATCAAAAAATAAAGTAAAATAAAATAAAATAGCATGCTTGTTCATTTGTCTGTCTCTTTTAATTAGAATATAACCTCCCTAAGAACAGGAACTTGTCTGACTTGTTCATTGCTTTAGGTCCTAGAACAAGAGCCTGGAAAACTCAGTATTTGCTTAATGAATGAAATAGCATGTCAACCCATTCTCTATACTACAAATCTTAACAGTGGCTTATAAGAAGTGAAATATTACTTGTGCATTAGCCTAGTTTGCTCCTTAGTCACAGGATTTGCAATATTTTAAACAAATTCACAGAAATACTAATCATAAAGTTTGGGAGGAAAGAGCTGTCTTGGAGGAGACAAATTGTGCCAAAGTTTGCCTGATAATTTATCCCCTTATGACCCAATGCCATGACTTAACTATCTGTAGGATAATGGGTAACTTTTTGAAACTCTCTGTATCTATTTCTTCTTGTGTAAGTGAAGATAATGATGGTATCCAGTTCATAGTTATGGTGTGAGATTAGGTAAAATAATGCATATAAAGTACTTACCTCAGGACCAGGTACAAAGTAAGCCCTTGATAACAGTTAGCATTGTGATCCTCATCATTGTTATAATGGAGGAGACATGTAGTTTGTAAAGCATCTACATAGATGTGAACAGAAACCTCCCATCTTGCTATTCTCATTAATAAGCAAAACTGATCGCCACTGGTATAGGCCTGAGTCCTACAGCATACCTTTGCCTCAAGAAACAATTAAATCTCTCATTAGTTTTAACAGTGAGAAATACTGAAACTAAAATAAGAGAGCAGTGTAGCACAACAAAATGGTCCATTCTATCCCTTTTTAGTCAGTTTTTTTTTTTTTTAAAAGACACTGGCCCCAGGGTTATCTTAACAGTTATGTCTATGCTAAATTATTCCCTTGGCAGAGTTAATCATTACTTCAAAAATGAGACACACTGATGATAAACATGGCAAAGATTCCTAAGCATTGGTAATAAATGGTCAGGGTTATGCGACCATGTCACATTACACATTCTTTTATCTATTTATTCAGTCAACATTCACAGAGTATCTCCTATCTCATAGAAGGACACCTAGAAACCAAAAAAGAAAAAAGAAAATCCTATTTTTGCCACTAGACTGTATACCAACTTTTACTGAGTGCGTACTATTTGCCAGGTGTTTTATAAAGACTATTTTACCTAATCCTCACAAGGACCCTGCAAGGCAATATAAGTTAAATATCACCTGGGCCACATAGCCAGTAAACAACACAGCAGAATTGAACCCATATACTGATTAGTGTTGATACCTCCTGCTCAGAAAATGCAATTTTCTCATCTTTCCCCTTCCTTTCTTTCCTTTCCTTCCTTTCACCTTCCTCCCTCTCTCCCTCTCTCCCTCCCTCCTTTCATTATAGAAGACTTCATAATCAGATGTCATGGCACAGAAATGAGTCAACACTCTGGAGCACTTTTTTCTGCACACAGAAAGGAACACGGCTCCCCAGTGTTGGCACCTGAACCACCACTGGCCCTTGGACCTACGATCTCACCAGCAGATCACTGTGCTGCCGAGGTTTCTTAGAACACAGAGACTATAAATGCTTTGCACTGGTAACAGAGATACAGAAAGGAAAGAGAAAAGCCACACAGACACCAGGTATTTCTTTAGTTGGAGACAGCACATTTCTCTTCTTTTAGGGTATAACTATTTTATTATTTGATATTTAGGTAGAGCTTTTCATTCCAGGATCTTATGCTTTCATAGTGCAAAGTCAACAAAACTGTCAGAATTTTTAAAAAATGAAGTTGGAAACTTGCTCCCTGTGGAG